AAGAGTTGGTAGCGGGTGGTGATGACTAGCTGCCTTCCCTCTGGTCTTACACTGCTAAATTAGGGACGGCTAGCGCAGATAGCCCTCGTGTAAATAGCGAAATTCAAAAACAAACAAACAAACTTCTCCACCAGATATATTTACCCTTCTTTAGCTAAAACTATATTACAGTATTAGCTAAAAATATATTATTTTCATATATGTTTGTAAAGAGTTAAATACATGAATAAAATTAAGGTACTTCGAACATTAAATTATGAAAAGAATTTGAAACTGGTTCAAAATATCGCTACATTTCACCACATTAACTAGTGATGTTTTGTTCCCCCCTTTTTTTTATAGTCGTTTTTAGTGCTTCTTGTGAATCAGTAAGAATTACGTATACGCACTTAATTATGTAAAAAAAATGTGTCTCAACATTCATTAATTTCTCACTATCAGAGACCGAAGGAGCGGATTATATGTGATAAACAGGTGTTTAAAACGTGACACGAGAATTGTGATTCTCATACGATTTATGTTCTCGTTTTAGGCTATCCAGAGAGACAATCCAGCTCGCCAGGCATTGGTCAAAGTGAACGTAATAGTGGTGGACATCAATGACAACATTCCAGTCTTTGAATATGATTCGTACAATATCACCGTGGTAGAAAATCTGCCACCAGGATTTAATGTAGTTCAGGTGTTTGCCCACGATAAAGATCTGGTAAGCTTGATTTTTGTTATCGGCCAGTTTTTCTTAGTTGGATATATGTCCTCAGCACGTGGGAGACAATGGTGTCGGTTTGGATTAATGTTCCTTTGTATGTTAAATGTTTGTATTTATATGGTCAAACTCATGAAAGGTAATATAAGCGTATCTAGTTTACAATGATATTTTTATTTGACGGGAACGGAACCTTATCCGACTTGTGGGCAAGGCCATTTTAAGGTTGAAGCATAGCTACCCCTTATTTAAAATTTTTAATCAGAGGGAGAACAACGGTCATTATCGCCTATCGTGCACCTACTCTTGACTGAATAACAGAATTGACTCTCACAGTTGTAATGTCTTTGTGCTTGTTTTCTTATAGCAAAGCCACTTCGGGCTATCTGCTGTGTACACCGAGTGGAATCGAACCCCTGATTTTAGTGTTGTAAGTCAGAAGACTTACCGCTGTCCCACCAGGGGACCACAGTTATAATGCTCCCCACAACTGAAAGTGCAGAACGTGTTTAGCGGCATATAGCGGTTCAAACCTTTGACCTTCTGATCTATAGCTAAGCACGGTAAACACTAGGTCACGCTCGGCCTCGTCTCTGACTAGAAATATATTAAAGCGGCTCAAAGAAAAAAATATCCAAAACAAAAAAATCACTAAATTTGTGACACGATTCTCATCACTAGTTAAAATTATTTCATATTCTATCACTTTTAGTCCTAATTTCTCTAAGCTTATAGTATTTAAAATATTTATGGAGTACAGTGAGTAAAAAGGATATAAAATACAAATATTATGCGATTGCTCCCCCTCTATTGTTTGAAAATGAATTGCACCAGACTACAGTTACACTATAATTGGCTGCATTAAAACGAATTAGACAGTGACAAACCAGCATCATGCCTATAAAAGTACGGAGAATTATACTATTCACAGTAGTAGCATGGTTATATACTCCTGGTTCCTAGGACTAAAATGCGACACGATAAACAGGTGAATTTGAGGTTTTGCTGGTGAAGGCTACTATAGATTGAAGCAAAATTTCATATTTCAATCGAAGTTTGATGGAAACACTGACGAAATTACTTGAAAAAATAGAAGTGGTCGACTAAGAAAACCCAAATTCTTCAAAAGTGGTGCCAAGTAATACTGGGTATGTTTTTTGCTTTTTATGTGATAAATGGCAACCGGTAACGATCTTATCGATGTACTAAAATAGAACGAATTGGCTCCAATGAATGTGTAGCTGCTCAAAAACCAATGCTTAGGAGAGAGATAACCAGATCACAAAGGCTGAAGTGGGCATCAGATTTCAAACAGTGGGATGAGCGAAGGACAGTTCTCTTTATAGATAGCTCAAAATTCAAATTGTTTGGTAAAAGTCAATAATAGTTGGTGTTGGAGGTCCACACAAAAATCGATGGCACGCTGACTACTGGCAGGTACAATAGGTTCTTATCCGTGGTGTAATTACATCAGCAGCAAAGCCTATTGAGTATTGGTTCATTTTCCAAAAGTATCCAAAAAATGTGATGAAACGATACTTGGAACTGGAAAGAAGTCGATGGAACACTAACATTCACGACTGGACCTGCACAAATTTTCAATATAATGGCTGCTGATAATGGTGTTGCTTATTAAGACATTTATAAAGATGGCTGCTGATAATGGTGTTGCTGATTAAGACATTTACAAAGATGGCTGCTGATAATGATGTTGTTTATTAAGACATTTACAAAGATGGCTGCTGATAATGGTGTTGCTTATTAAGACATTTACAAAGATGGCTGCTGATAATGGTGTTGCTGAACTATAAGATAAGTTTTGAAATAATTCAGTTACCTTGGAACTTCCCAACAACACCAGTATGACCAGTAAAAGAAAAACCGGATGTTGAAGCCGCTAGTTCGGCTCATGCGCAGATGAACCAAACGGCAAATTCATTGCTAGATAAATACAAAGTTTTGAAACCTAAAGCACGAGTGATACGAAGAATTCAATGATACTTTCTGGCTCTATTAATAAATATCGATCAAGTTCTTTCATAGTTTTAATTTACGACTACATTGAATGGTATTATTTATGTTACAGGCAATGATTAAGGTCGAGGTTTTCACCAAGTATTTTATTAATATGAGAGGAACATGTAAAAAGAAACATACGTAATGTTAAGTATTTCTTTTAATGAGAATAGACAGAAAGACCAAGATAAAGTTGCCAATGGGGCTGTATTACGTTCTATTTTTTAAAAAGTAGGTCTGCTGGCTGCTGTGTGCCCTTATAGGCTATTTAAAGGGCGCAGGTCGTGATTCGTTAATTAACGTGTTCAGACTGTAAATTCGAAGGTTCATGGTATGCGCCTCATTGCCGCAAAAACGTGTTCCACATTTTTTTTTAACTCGCGCTTCAAGAATGACTGTGAAATTCCACTGTTCTGTCAGACAAAAGTAACCCAAAAATTATTGTTCGGAACTGTTAACTAAGCTTCCTTACTTCTAGTCTATCAGTTCAAAATTAGGGACTGCTGTGCGGGGATAACCTTAGTGTAGCTTTGCGCTACAATTCTAAAAAATGTATAAAAGAAAACTGAAACAGGACAGGAGTTTTAGCGTTTTGACATTTAATTAAAATCGTCTGTTTTACAAACAAAGTATATTGCTTCTGTTTCTAGGGAGACAACGCTAAGTTCAAGTACCATTTGGAAGATGAGTCTCGGGCCTTTTCAGTGGATGAAACAGACGGCTGGATCAGAGTTCACGACCCTTCCAAACTGGACAGGGAAACCAAAGATTTACTAATTATGAAGGTAATGAAGAAAAAAAAGAAAGAAAAATAATATTAATTTTAATAATAATTTTGTTTCGTTTTTCAAACTCATATTGAATAAGTCACAACGGTTCACATTTCTGGTTCTTGCAATGACTTGCAGGTGGCGAGGCAATCAGAGGAAATATGTGTCAATAAATAACTATTTTGATTTTTTTAAATTCATATGTTTGTTTGGAAGTAAGCACAAAGCTACACAATGGGCTATCTGTGCTCTGCCCACCACGGGTATCGAAACCCGGTTTCTAGCGTTATAAGTCCGCAGACATACCGCTGTGCCACCGGGGGGCATATTAATATGTCTAGCTTCTAAATTTATACAAGATATTTATAGTAATAAATAAAGGCCTTTATTTCTATATCACAGTTTCGTATCTCAAGTTCCTAAATTCAAAGTAACGTGTTATTTTAGAAGCTCCGCGCTTCGTTTTCCTCACATACCAAGTTATCATTAAAAGCAGTAGTGTAAAAACAAGCTTGTATAAACAAACGAAAATTCGAATTAGGTTACAGTTTTATGAATAAGATAAGATAGGATATATATATATAAAACTCCCGTGTCCACGTTTAGCCGTGTCTCTGACAAACGTAACAACGAAAAAGTTTGATTTAGAACCCTGGTGGCTTCAAAGATAGAAGCCATCATTAATTTTCAACGACGTCTTTACGTGACGAACAAGTGTTTGAGGTAGTCTGTTTTGTATTTACTAAACGTGTTCAGAAACGAGTTTTATACATCAGGCTGTGTGATGGATATCACTCGCCTTACTTTCTTGATAATTATTTTAATTTGTGGTCAAGTTACAATAGCATGTGTGTGTATATATATATTATAGAAACTTGTATTTTTTTTTTGGGGGGGGAGTCCTTGTTATATTTATATAGAACTGAATGAAAAATGTACCGTAAGGATACAGTACAGAAGAGAGTAGTATTTCGTTGTAAAAAGTAGATGTTAGATCAACTATAGGCGTCATATGCCTTTAAAAAATGTGATTTATAGCGTACGCAAAAATAACAACGAAGTCTCGGTTATTTCCGGGTTGGATGTTGCTTCTTAGATTGGGAGGGAGTATTTCCGGGTAGGGTGCTATCTCTGAGATTGGGTGTTATTTCCGGGTTGGGTATTGTTTCTGAAAATGAAGTATTATATCTGGGTAGGGTGCTACCTCTGAGATTGGGTGTTATTTCCGGGATGGGTATTGCTTCTGAAACTGAAGTATTATATCTGGGTAGGGTGCTACCTCTGAGATTGGGGGTTATTTACGGGTAGGGTGCTGCTTCTGAGATTGGGTGTTATTTCCGGGTTGGGTATTGCTTCTGAAACTGAAGTTTTATATCTGGGTAGGGTGCTACCTCTGAGATTGGGTGTTATTTCCGGGTTGAGTATTGCTTCTGAAACTGAAGTTTTATATTCGGATGGAGTGCTACCTCTGAGATTGGTAGTGGGTGGTATTTCAAAGTAGGTTGCCACTTCCAAGATTGGGTGGTTATTTTGGGGTAGGATGCTGCCTCCGAGGCTGGAGTATTAAAAATTATTATATCATAAATGATTTACGTAATTAAAACTTTGTGAATGATTGATAAGCACGTAGAAATTGAGTTTAAAAGACACTATTTGTCTTAGCCTTTTTATTCTCATGTTTATTTCTCGTGTCACGCTGACAGGTGACAGCCGAGGAACTCCTACCGAATGTCAACCCCAATGTTCCTGAAAGTTCTACTCAAGTCCAAATCCATCTTCTTGATGCGAACGACAACAATCCACAGTTTATACCAGAACCTGCTTATAATTTTATTGTAACAGAAACGGATCCACCAGGAAGTCTCCTTGGCATTGTAAGTTTTTGTTTTTATCTCTAGTTAAGCTCTTAAAACTCTGCGATATTTCATTTTATTAGTAGAACTAGAGTAATTTTCCATTCTGCAAAAATTGTAGCCTATTTTCTGTAACTTACTTAGGATGTTTAAACTTGAGTTAGAACAGTTTTAAATAGACATCACTTATGGTGTATAAATACTTTGAAGCCCGGCATAGCCAGGTGGTTAGGGCCCCGGCATGGCCAGGTGGTTAGGGCGCTCGACTCGTTCTCTGAGGGTCGCGGGTTCGAATCCCCGTCCCACCAAACATGCTCGCCTTTTCAGCCGTGGGGGCGTTATAATGTGACGGTCAATCCCACTATTCGTTGGTAAAAGAGTAGCCCCAGAGTTGGCGGTGGGTGGTGATGACTAGCTGCCTTCCCTCTAGTCTTACACTGCTAAATTAGGGACGGCTAGCGCAGATAACCCTCGTGTAGCTTTGCGTGAAATTCAAAAAACAAACAAGTTTTGCGCGAAATTAAAACAAAACAAACAAACATACTTTGAACGAGTTTTTTTCTGAAGTAATATGACAGAAAAGAGATTATTTCATATTACTGGGATAAAAGTTTTGTTTGGCGCTGAGCTCGAGATTAGAATTGATGGATTTCATGTAATGCAGTTATTTTTATTTTTTATTTATGAACAATGTTTTAATGAAGAAAATAGAATATTTAACAACAGAATAATTTAATGTAATATGGTTCTATTATGGTAATCCACATTTCTTTAGTGCAAAGTGTCTGTAATGATAAGATGGGAGAAACAGTTGTGTTTTCGTGATTTAGTTATCAAAAGTAACCTAACTAATTAGTACATTGGATAAACGTTCCCATTGTTAACAGAAAGAAACTGTAACTCAGACTGTCAAATGCTTGATTGTAGAAACACACATCTGTGAGTAGATTTCAGGAGTTCCCTTTGTTAACTTTTTTATTCTCATTTTTTACAATTCGAGTGCTAGTTAAAGTTATTATTTTTGGTTGGTGTCAGACGATAAAACGGGTTATGTTCTTGAATGGATTAATATAATAAAGTGGGTTCTTTGTTTGGGGGTGTGTTTTCTTATAGCAGCAGCAAATAGCCCGATGTGGCTAGTCCACCGAGGGGAATCGAACCCCTGATTTTAGCATTGTAAATCCGAAGACTTACCGCTGTCCCACCAGTATTCTCTTTGATTGGCGGATTGTATAAAGTGGCTTCTTTGATTGGCGGATTGTATAAAGTGGCTTCTTTGATTGGCGAATTGTATAAAGTGGCTTCTTTGATTGGAGGATTATATAAAGTGACTTCTTTGATTGGAGGATTGTATAAAATGTCTTCTATGATTGACGAATGGTAAAAATCTCCCGTTTCTATGAGAGGAGGTGGAAATTTGTAACGAATTTAATTTTCTTTGTTTATTGTACTGTCCGTTCATTTTATCACATCTATAGAACGATATGATTGAAAATTATAACTCATTCCATAAAAAATAAATAATTCATTATACTACTGATCTCTGCCTATAGGTGAAAGCTATCGACCCGGACGTCGGAGTGAACGGTATCATTCATTATTCTAAACAGGACGACGGCTTAAGCAAATCTGCACCATTCGGCGTCCATGCTATAAATGGATCTATTTACGTCCTGGAGGCGTTTTCTGAAATCCATCTCAAGCCTGCCCAGTATACCTTCTTTGTTCTTGCCACCGATTCAGCTGATATCGGATACGAGCGAAGGTATGTGCTCTCATTTTCAAGAAACTGCTTAGGCTTAGCAACACAGTAATTTAGTTTAATAATTAGAAGATTTATTGTTTTATTTTCCGGTGTGATATGAATATGCTTTTTTAAAATATAACAAAAGAGGGAAGGCAGAGCTAGTCAACTCCACCCACCGCCCACTTTTGGGCTAATGTTTTTACCAACGAATAGTGGAATTGACCGTCACATTATAACACCCCCATGGCTGAAAGGACGAGCATGTTTGGTGACGGCGATTCGAATCCGCGACCAGCAGATTGCGAGTCGAGCGACCTCTACACCAGACCATGCTAGACGTAAAAGTGGCGTATATATTCGAATCAGATTTTTTCCTGTTCTTTATCTCCTT